CCCTCTGTGGCCTTCGCCCCTATTCTCATTCATATTTATTTATTTATTGACTTTTATGAAGTTTCCCTTCCATCCAATCCCTATTGCTCATGTTGTCCTGACCATCCCCCCAGCCATCCAGCTGTTTGTGCAGCTGTCTGTCTGTCACAAGGAAAATAAAAACAGCAAGCAGCAGGGCCTATGTGTGGTCTTTGAGGAGAGATGGTTAGGGGTGCAGGGTGCTGGGACAGGCGCATTCCAGCCTTCTTTGGGCCAGTGAGAGCCCAGGTATACGAGCTAGCACCTTTGGACCTTTCTGCCTACTTCCCTAACCTCTGAAATTCTGGAGTCCTGGCAGGACCACTGAATCCCCACCACCACCCTCTAACCAGACTCTGGTGGCCCCCACCTCTTCTCACATGTTCCATTATCACATCTTGGAGGATGCTGGGCTCTGGAATGGACCGGCCCACACCCCAATCCTGGCTCAGCCTCTTTCACTTCGCTCAGGAGATGGGCTAGCTTTAGCCCTGACCCCTGGGGCAGAGGGTTTTATGATGATGATTGGTGAGAGCAGGTGGTGTGAAGAGCTGCAGAGGAGACCAGGAGAGGCCCACACCCCACACTCTCAGTGTGAGAGCACCGATCAGGGCACCAGCTGCACAGAGCACCTATGAGTGCTCTGGTCAGCATGTCTGCTGTGATGGGGCCACAGATGAGCATTTTCCTAGGTCCCAGGGACACTCAGCCTGGACCTTCTAGTCCCCACAGCAAGCTTAGAGGTCTGCTGGGTGTGAAGGCACCTTGCCTCTAGCTGCGCTCCTGCAGTGCCACGGAATGGTCACTGGGCCCTAGAACTGAGCTGCCCTGCCTTGAGGTGCGGAGAGTGGGGTGTCAGTTCTCCTTGGGTCCAGAGGGACTGTCCTCCCCCTTCACCTCTTGGAAATTCTGTTCTTGACAGTGACAGGAATAAAGCCGCCACCATGAGCACACAGCTGGTGCTGGTGTGTTACTGATTGAGGTTGAGGGCTCCTTAGCTGGAGCCCAGACAACCCTCTGCCCAGCCAGCCTCTCTGGCTTCTCAGGACCCCAGGGAAGAGGCAATCCCCATCATCATAAAACAACAGGAAGTTAAAGCAGCTGGAAGGGACCAGAGAGACCCTTGCTCACCTGTCATTTTAGCAATGAAGATGTACAGCTTGCCTGTGAGAATCTCTAATCCCCTACTCACTGCGTTTTCGTATAAAAATGAGGTGCCTGAACTCATATCTTGATAAATGGTAAAATTCTTCTCCCTTGCCCCTGTGATCTCAAGCTCCCTTCCCATCTCCATTGGAAATGGCATGTGAACTGCTTGTTCCAAACCTGGAGGAGCAAAGGTAATTTATATTAGCAGAGCTGTGTCAAAAGTGCTCTGATCAAAAGGTGACACTGCTCCACACCTGGGCTGGCAGTTACAGTGGATGGAAGCAACACGCCTACCTGGTGCCCTGGCTTGGGCAGATGGGACTCCAGGCATCCCAGAGGGGCTAACCTAACCCCCTTTACCCCAGGTGGTGTGATGCCCCTATGCAGCAGCTTTGCCCCAAAATGGGCTTGGGCTGGCCTAAAGTTGCTGAGTCAGTATTAGTGCCAAACTCCAGGGACAGTGCAACCCAGCCAGACCCTACCATGTCACGTGGAGGACAATGAGTAGAGATGGGGGTGGCAGGAGGGGATGCTGTTCTCAAAAATCTTTAAGGTCCCCTCTAGGATTATCTCAGTTTACCACTAGAGGGCACAGTGCAGAAATAACAACCCTAGACTCGTGGGGGCAGGGGAGGGGGGGGAAAGGCGCTTACAGATTGGTCCTGACAGCCACGTGGCCCTCTCATAATTGGCTGGATGGACAGTGAAGTCCGCGGCTACTCTGGCTTCATTTAGGGACACTCCCACACATACTCGCACCCCTTAACCTACGGTGTCCCCGGGAAGGGCATTGTCCCATTGTCCAAGGATGGACCTGAGTGTCAAGTTGCCCCGGCAGGCAGCTGAATCTCCTGTCCGCCTGGGGCCTCTCCGGATCCTCCCGGGAGTGGGATGGATACCCCTGCCCTGGGAGGGGATGGGCTACGTCCAGCTGCCCAGCTGTCAGGGCGCTGACGCGCCGTGCACCCCAGAGCCGCTCGAGTTTCCCACCTCCACCCCCACCCAGAGCCTATCCCAGCGGCTGAGCCAGCGTCCCAGGCATCCTCGGGCTAAATAAGGAGACTACTTGGGTCAGGGGGCGGGGGCTGGGGTCCCGGGGGGCTTGGGGCTACCACGCCAAACAAGGCAAGGAGGGGAGCGATGTATAAAACCAGGGCCCAGGGCTGAGCACCTGCCCGTGCCCCTACTGTGCCATCCGGAATAGCTCGTGCTGCCTGCTACCAAGCTAGTTGACTCAAGTCCTGAAGTCAACCCCTCACCCCCACCCCACGGTGAGTCCAGATCCTCAGACCGGCGCTAGTCACTCACATCCCGGGGATGTTCTGAAACCGAAGGGGAAAGCCTGAAGGTCTCAGTCTCTGTGTCAGCCTAGACCCTTGCGTTTGTTTTCCGCTTCCCAGATGTCCAAAGCCGCTCCCGCCAAAAAACCGGCAGCTGCGGCCCCGCCTCCGGGATGTACCCTGGATATCAATGACCCCCAGGTCCAGAAAGCGGCCATTCGCATCCAGGCTTCTTACCGGGGCCACAGGTGAGGGGGAGCCCTGGAGCCCTCGGAAGGAAGGGAGCTGGAGCTGCAGAAATCGCATTCCTGCATTGGGGGTGGGGGATACTGAGCACAGTGCCATGGACGCTAGGGTCATTAGACTTAGGGGAGAACAGTTATGGAGGTTGGAAAGGTGGCAGACAAGAGTAAATCATTATATTAGGATGACGATTCCCCCATCCCCATGTTTAAGGGTCTAGTGGGCCGAGGGGGCAGGCAGGGTATGGTGTGCGGGCGACAGTGTTACGGGCGGGTGGGAACAGTGTCATGGCAGCTCTGGCCCTGACCCTGCCTGCGGGTAGGTCCCGGAAGGAGCTGCGGGAGAACGGGCCGCCTCGAGTGCTCGAGCCGTTGAAGGACGTGATGCTGATCGAGGGCAGCGCAGCCAAGCTGACTTGCCGCATTTCGGCTTTCCCGGACCCATTTATCCGCTGGAGCAAGGATGGCAAAGAGTTGCGCGACGGGCCCAAGTATCGCTACGTCTTCGAGGACCCTGATGTCGTCGCATTGGTGGTGCGCGATGGCGAGCTGGCAGACTTGGGCCAGTACAGCATCAACGTAACCAACCCCTTCGGCCAGTGCTCCGACTCGGCGCGCATCCTCGTGGAAGGTACGAGCGCCCCAGGTGCACCGCGCAGGGCAGCACCGCCCCGCGGGAGCCCGCAGCCAGGTCCAGCCTCACGTTTATCGCTGGGCCTAGCCGAATATGGCCAGCATAGCCCCCGGCACAGCCTGAGGTACGGAGCAGGGCGCAGCGCCGAGTGGGCTGGGTAGTCCTTCCCTACCTCGGGATCCTGTCCCACCCAGGCTAAGAAGTCCACTAGGAGTGTCAATCACTCGACTTCAGGGCCCCAAGGTTACAGCGGGCGTGCCACAGGCAGAGCCAGGGTTACAGCCCTGGTCTTCTGGCTTCCAACCTAGAGCAATTTCCACTACCCCGAGCTGTCTCCAAGGCACCGCGCGCGAGATGTGTGAACACTGCCGGGCTTTCACACGTAGTGGCCGTTTTGATCATCCATTCAGCCCTACGAAGTAGGAGAGGCAGGGATTAGAGTTGCTAAAACGAGTTTAAATCCATCTCATCTTTAGGGCTGGTCTTAGCTGGGAGTGTCGTCCCTGCCCCGCCTCACCTCTAGATCCCTCCCTGGATCGCCTTCCCTTTCCCTTCCTTTAGTCCCGGCGAAAATTCAAAAGGGACCGGATAACACTAAGGCGCGCAAAGGCACCACAGTGAAGCTAACCGCGGAGATCATGGGCGAGCCTGCGCCCGACGTGGGCTGGACCAAGGACGGGGAGGACATCGAGGAGGACGACAGGCAAGGGCGGCGACCTGCCGCAAGGGCAGGGCCTGGAACTGGAGCCCGGGCCCCAGAAAGCTGCAGGAGCGGGACGGGGGTTGGGAAACTGGGAGGCGAAGAACAGAGCTGGCCAGTTAGCCCGGCCCAGGGCGCACGTAAACTGACCCGGCGCCCTGCCCCACTTCCCCTGCAGGGTATTCTTTGAGATCGGCAGTACCACCACGACGCTGACCATCCGCCGGGCCACACCCCAGGACAGCGGCAAGTACGAAGTGTACGTGGAGAACAGCCTGGGTATGGACCAGAGCTTCGCTCGCGTGGACGTGGCCTGAAAGGGAGCCTCGGACCTTTCACCCTGGCTCCAAGCCCGGGGGTGGGTAGCACCGACAACCCCCCTCCATCTCGCTTAATAAAACTGGTCTCTCTGACCCTCCACATCGATTCTCTTCTTTTGAGTTGCCATTTCCTCTCCCCGCCACCCGTACCCACACTCTTCCAGACCCACACATCAAGGTCACAGCATGTCGGGGTCAGAGGGAAGTTTGGAGAGCGCCTAGTCCAGTACCTCACTTTACAGACAGTAAGTCTGAGATAGGCTTCTCTCACGGGAGAAAGCTCCTTCACTTCCCAGAAGGATGGGCAGGGGCGTCAATGACTCCGCCTTCTCTTCTTTTGTATACCTCAAGCCTCACCCTCTCGTGGAGGGTTTGCACGCTGGCCACGCCCGTCTCAAGGACGACCTCACGCCCTCTTTTCCCTGTGACTTTGTTCTCTACTTTGGCTGCCACCCTTGGGCCCATTCCCAGACAGCTCCCGGTCCTAATCTGGGTTCCGGCTTGTTTCTCAGGCCCCACCCTTCTTTTCATTTAGCTCCGCCCCCTCGGTGCCTTGGCCACGCCCCGTGTTCTCCCATAAGTCCCACCTTTCTCCTCTCAGAAGGGGGAAAGGAGCTTAAGAACTACACTTCCCGGCAGACTTTGCGACGCTCTCGCGAGTTGCGAGAAGACACGTGCACGGAAGGAGCAAGCAGTAGCGGGCGGCAGAGCTGGAATATAAGGGGCTAGTGGTAAAAGGATCTGATGGAGGGGTGGCGAAAGGGGTAGAGGGCAGCGGACGGCCCCTAAACGGAGGGCGGCTTGGAGGTCCCGGCTGGCTCTCCGCACCTTCGGTGCTGTGCTGGTTCCACAACTCCTGGATACGCGAGGTTAGGGTTTATTAGACAGAATCAGCTGTGAGATTTAGAGTCAGCAATCAGTCCTCTGAATTCAGAGATTCAGCACTTGTCGTTAGTATTGGGACTCAGGGGGTTGGTAGATTCAGTATTTGGGATGCCAAAGGAACCTGTCTTTTGATTTAGGGTTCATCACCTAGGGGTTAGTTTTAGGATTCAGGTTCAGCATATAGAGTTTTTGCTAGGGTTTGGATTTGTCAAATGTAGATTAGTGTTTAATACTTGAAATTCACTTAGGATTGTAGTTAAATATTTGGGGCTTATTTAGGATTTGAGGTTTAGTAATCAGAGTTCACTATTGGGATACAAGGATTAACATCTAGAGTGAGGATAAACAATTGGGAATTGGTGGGTTTGGGGGTTTTGTTTTTTTGAGGTTTGGGGTGTGAGAAGGTCTATTGCTGAGTTTCTTAGTTTGCTGAGTTTGTGGCCAGAGGGAAGTTTGTTAGGGATCAAATTGCAGAGCATAGATTTCAGAATTTGGGAGGAATCACTGTGGGGTTTGAAGGCCGACTGGAATCTGGGTTGGGATTTGAGATGTGTAGGATTTATGAAGTATTGTGCCCAGAGAGGGACTATACTAAAACTTGGATTTACATCCTGGGAGAGAGAGGACTCAGTGTTGCTATTTGGGGTTTGGTTGCGGTATGAGTGGGGTTCCTGGGTTGGAGTATGATATCTGAGCCTGACATCTCTTTTGGGATTTGAAGTTTAGGTAGCTATTCGTCATCATGCTTAAAGCTGTGATCCTGATTGGAGGCCCTCAAAAGGGTGAGGAGCCAGGGGAATGAGTGGAGTGGTTGGGGGGGGGGGGCAGAAGGAGGCAGAAAGCTGAAACGTGCTTCTCTGTCCTCTCCTAGGGACTCGCTTCAGGCCTTTGTCTTTTGAGGTGCCCAAACCCCTGTTTCCCGTGGCAGGGGTCCCTATGATCCAGCATCACATTGAGGCCTGTGCCCAGGTAACTCTATAGGCTCCCTTCTTCCACCTCGCTTCCTGCTCGTCTCTTTCATGCCATATTTCCTCCTATTCCAATCACGACCTCTTCCCACCAGGCAGAACTCCAGGGACCAGCATTTACAAATGACAATGTGAAAGCCCCCCCCCCCCCCAGAAGCTGGGCAGGGCTTCCTCTAATCTAGCCTCTCATCTGGCCTCTTCTTGGTCAGAATTCACAACTGTTTTTAAAAGCCTGCAATGTGAGATTAGGCAGGAATCTTAGAGACAGCTTAAAGCGGTAGCATGGGAAACCTTAATGATAAAGAATGGAATCTTACTACCCTTGCTCATTTTGGAGCTAATTCCTTTATTGCTCTAGGTATTGGGATAAGGCAAGGTTTTGATTTGAGTCCGGTCTCTGCCTGCTATAAGGAACTGAGCAAATTTCTCACCCTTTCCAGCGGTTCGAGTCCGGCCCGAGCTGAGCTGCCAACAGGTGGCAGGATGGCTCAGCTAAAAAAAAACAAACAAAAAAAACGGGGTAAATTTCTCACCCTTAGTTTCCTTAATTGTAAAGTGGGGGTGATTAGTCCTACTTTGTGGAGGTGGCAAAGCTTAGAGATGATGTTTGTAAAATATCTAGTACAATGTAGGCACTTGATAAATGGTATCCTTACCTCACATTGATCTCAAGCTCAGATTGACAGATGACAAATTTGGGGGGCAATGAATGGATTATCGTTTAATGCAACTTGGTAGGCACAACCTTTCCTAGGGTGAGCCCTACTTCAGAGGTAGGGGTGCGGGGGGAATAATAGAATAATAAAAGATTGAAAGATCAGGGATTGAGACTTACTCTGACTTCCTCATTGTCCCCAGGAGAAGTCAGGCCAGCGTCGTGTCCAGAGCACCACAGCTGAGACTGAAAGTCTGGTGTCTGGACTCTGGGCCAGTACCAGGGATTTCTCCCGTCATTCTCTCCTGTTAGATGTATTTTTTTCTCCTAACTTCTTCCCTTGTCCTCAGGTCCCTGGGATGCAGGAGATTCTGCTCATTGGCTTCTACCAACCTGATGAGCCTCTTACCCGGTTCCTAGAAGCCACCCAGCAAGAGTTTAACCTTCCGGTCAGGTCAGATGTTTGTGCACATATGGTACATGGGTGAAGGGGAGTGGTGCCCAGGCATCTTGAGTTCTCAGGAGTGGGTTGAGTCAGTATCTGCCAGACGTCACCCTCACACACTAGGAGGATTTTTATTTGGTCATCCCTGAAACCCTGAATATGTTGAGTTTCTTTGGGCAGACATATTCTGGGAAAAGGAGGGGTCAGGTGCCCAGGCTCATGGCAGCCTTCTCCACTGATCTCACTGAGCTGGCTCTGGGTTCTCTGGGGACAGGTATCTGCAGGAATTTGCCCCTCTGGGCACAGGAGGTGGTCTCTACCACTTCCGGGACCAGATCCTGGCTGGGGGCCCTGAAGCCTTCTTCGTGCTCAATGCTGACGTCTGCTCTGACTTCCCCTTGAGCGCCATGTTGGCTGCTCACAGATACCAACCTCACCCTTTCTTGCTCCTGGGCACCACGGTGAGGGGCCCCGGAAGGTTGGAGGGTGTTGAGGGCGTGATCCAGAGAGGTTCCTGAAATGCAGGGTGTTGGGAAAGCAGGGCCAGCCCAGGCAGCTGGAGTGGGAGCAGGCCTTAGGTGGGAGAGGTACCAGAAATCCCAGCAGTAATGGAGGCGGTGGTGGAGACCCTGAGCCCTTTGGCTGCTCAGAAGTAGGGAGGGGGAGGGCAGCTGTCAGTTCTCACCCCAGCTGAAGGCTTGTCAGTGGTGGAGCTGCATGCCAGGTGCCATAGGGGAGGGAAAGCAAGAAGAAGAAAACAGGCCTTGCTGCCCTGAAGCAGGCAGGTCACGATGTGTCTGTCTTTCAGGCTAACAGGACACAATCCCTCAACTACGGCTGCATCGTAGAGAATCCACAGACACACGAGGTGAGAACAGAGAAGGGGCTGGCTGGGTGCCTAATCTGTGCATCATCATTCTCCCATCCCTCAGCTCCTAGAGAATGCTGAAACGCTATGGGGTGGGCCCCAGTCTTAGCAAACAGGTGGGCACACCCTCAGTTTTTTTCTCTTCTGTGCCTTTAAGAAAGATCGGTGAAGAGGTAACAGTTAATTTCCATGGGTGCAGTGCTCCAGTAGACATATGCACGGGGTGCTATGGCAACACAAAAGGGGCCCAACACAACCTCCCTGGGTGAGGGTGAGGGTGGGGAGGGATCCCTGGAGGAGGTGAGGTCTGAGTTGAGTTAAGTATGTCAAGATGGAGATAGGAAAGCATTGCAGATAAAGGGAACAATATGTGCAAAGGCATGGAGGCAGGAAATTACATAGTACCTCCAGAATTATGGAAGTGGGAACATAATTGGCAAGGCAGATGATCTCTGCCCCTGTCTCTGAAACTCCCTGCCCCGGAGCCTAACTGACTTTCACACACCCTTTTATTTGTCCAAGCTTTAGTATTAAAAATACATACGAACAGGGCCGGCCGAGTACTTAAGAGTTGGCTTGGGACGCCAGCTCTGAGCAGCAGGGCCCCGGTTCGGATCCCACATGAGGGCCAGTGACGCTGCGCCCTCTACAGCTAAGATGGTGAACAACAGCTCGACCTGGAGCTGGGCTGCCGTGAGTCGCTGGCGACAGTGTAGGCTGCAGTGGAGCTGGCTGGCAGCTGGCATGTGCTTTAGTGTGCTGCCGTGAGCCGCCGTGAGCAGCCGTCCAATGGCTGGGGAGCGACTGCCTCACCCAAGAAGAGCGCAATAATACCAACATGGGCCAGTGAAGTGATGTTCTCCACAACTAGACTGAAGAACAAAAAAAAAAAGGACATCAGCTTGTCTGTTCCCCTTCCCTGATTCCCCAATGCTGTTCCCCTCCCCCAATAAAATCTTTAAAAAAAAAATACATATGAACACACACACACAGAGTTAGACATAGCACTAGCTAGGTGTAAGAAACAGAGCCAGAAAGACATAATCCCTGCCTCTCAGGAACCCTCAGTGTAGTGGGAGATAGTAAAAAAAACAACCATTTTAGGTGACACAGGCACCATGGGTGATGTGTGGCCAGAAGACAGGGAGTGCCTAGAGCTGAGGAGTTAACTCGGGGGCAGACAAGCGTGTGCTTAGAGAGGGAGCGACAATGTCAACCGGGTTTTGAAAGCTGAGTTTTCCAGATGAAGGGCATTCCAGGCACAGGCATGCAATGGCACGGAGTTGTGTTCTAGGAGCACTGGGAGGTGGGGAGGATTGGGAAGAAGGCATGTAGTTCAAGCTTATCTTGAAGGTGAAGTTGAAGGGCGGTGGCAAGATGCACTCTGCATTTTAGGAAGACACTGCAATGGCAGCAGGGAGAACCTGCAGATGAGAGGGTCTTAGGGGATGGTGACTGTGACCCCTCCTCTGTTGACCCCAGCACACTCTGTCTTCAGGTCCTGCACTATGTGGAGAAACCCAGCACTTTCGTTAGTGACATCATCAACTGCGGCATCTACCTCTTCTCCCCAGAAGCCCTGAAGCCCCTTCGGGATGTCTTCCAGCGTAATCAGCAGGATGGGCAACTGTGAGGCTGGCCCCATGGTCCTATAACCCCCAAGTACCCCCAGTTACAGCCCCCTACCCCCGGTCTCTGCTGTCTCCTCCTCAACTTGCTCACCTTCCCCCTTCCACGTGTCATCTCCAGCCAAGCCTCCCCAGTCCCTCCCCTTCTAACCTCATTCTGTCCCTCTTCCTTATCCATCCCAGTTCCTCCTGTCACTGCCTGCCCACTTCCCTTCTGGTCCATTTCTCTTTAAGCCCTGAGTGTCCCAGAGATGTCTTTCAGAACAGACGGTAACACACACTTGGGCGCACACGTGCTTGGATGCAGACACACACACACACACACTCTCACTCTCTCTCTCTCACTCACTCACTCACTCAGGCTGAGGAGGCTCCCCTTGGAGCATAGCATCCCAGAGCCCTGCCTGCAACAAGTCACAATCCCAGGGTGGTCCTCCTAGGCCTAGGAACTGTGCCCTTCTATGGCTCCCCTGACTTCATTCCCTCTCACGCCTCATTCACTCGTAGCCATCTTCTTACACCCACCCATCTCTCTGCTTCTCTCTCCATCTCTCCTGGCCTCTGTTTCTGCTGAGCTGGCATCTCTACCATCTCTCTCTCCCTCTCTTTCTGTGACTGTCTCTGCCCTCACCAGCTGCCTTCCTCTGGGGTGAGTCTGTCTGTGTTTCATTCCATCCAGTGAGAGGGAGGGTGACTGCAGGTGTGGATGGGGAGGAGGATGGGAAATTGGGGGAAGCCAAGTCTTGTCCCTCTCTCTAGAGATGAGGCAGGATAGGCAGCAGGTCTAGGCCTAGGGTTTCCCTGGGATAGCACCCCAGCTGGGAGCATGAGGGGGCGATGTGTGTGAGCAGTGGGAGAGCTTCCTGGGATGCAAGCATCCCTTTGGAGAGAATCTGACCAGACCTTGCAAGGTGGTGGGGTCCCCTGATTCCCATTCCTGAGAGACTGTGTTGGCCCTGCAGTTGGGTTCAGCTAGGGTACTGTCGTCAGCATCCCTTCCTCTGCCAGGGAGGACTCTTCAGGCCTGTGGCGGGGGGCAGGCACCATCCGCCTGGAGCAAGATGTGTTCTCAGCCCTGGCTGGGCAGGGCCAGATCTACGTGCACCTCACAGATGGTATCTGGAGCCAGATCAAGTCTGCAGGGTATGGGAGGGGCCTCTGATGGGGTGGCTGGGTTGCCTAGGGGTTGGGACTTCAAAGCAGTGGGTACAGGCCCGGCTGGCCCCTGAGTTCCTGCTCCACTTTGTGGCCCCCAGCTCAGCTCTCTATGCCTCCCGCCTCTATCTGGGACAGTACCAGCTCACTCACCCAGAACGCCTGGCCAAGCACTACCAGGGGGGGCCACGGATCCGAGGTACGCACCCCGCCCCAATTCATCACCTCTGCCCGACCCCAGCCCCCTCTGCCCTCAGAGCCATGACTCCTGACCTCACATGCAGAAGTAAAAGCTCAATCCCTGCACTCCCTGAACCAGATATGGTTTCGGGTATTTGTCCCCAGGTCCTCTCTTCTGCTTCTAGGAAATGTATACATCCACCCAACGGCTAAGGTGGCCCCATCAGCTGTGGTAAGTGGCAGCCCAGCCCAGGGAGAAAGAAGGTGGCTGTCAGGATGGGTGGGGCAGTTTGGATACCTCCTAAGCTGGGAGTGCTGGTCTCTGCTTTGTAACAGCCTGTTTTGTGGCCTGCAGTTCCCATCCCCCTTATCTGTTCTAGAGGGGATTGGGTTTGGGGTCCTCCAAGCCCCTCCAGGACTTATGGTATGTGCTCTGTTCCACAGCTGGGCCCCAACGTTTCCATTGGGGAGGGTGTGACTGTGGGCGAGGGTGTGCGGCTCCGAGAGAGCATTGTCCTCCATGGAGCCACGCTTCAGGTAAGCACCTGGGCACACGCAGCAGGGCCTGGGCCCCAAGAGGCTGAGGGGAGGGGTGGACCCCATGGGCTCTGCATCTGGCCCCTTTTCACCACCACCTCCCACCGTCCTTTTTGGCAGGAGCACACGTGTGTCCTGCACAGCATCGTGGGCTGGGGGAGCACTGTAGGGCGCTGGGCCCGTGTGGAGGGTACCCCCAATGACCCCAATCCCAACGACCCCCGAGCCCACATGGACAGTGAGAGCCTCTTCAAGGATGGGAAGCTGCTGCCTGCCATCACCATCCTAGGTATGGCTTCCCAGGGGATGCGGGGCTGAGAAACCTCCACAGGTGACGGGTGGGCTCTATGGGGAGCAATTGTGCATGCTCAAGAGAGAGAGAGAGAGAGTGTGTGTGTGTGTGTGTGTGTGCGCGCGCACCTTTAGCAAACATTTACCAAGTGCCTGCTGTGTGCCAGGCCGTGTGAGTCACTGGGGGCATGGGGCCAGAGCACAGATGGGCAGGTAAGGATGCTTCCCGATGGCAGTGGCCCCAAGCTCCTGACGCCTCCCATGGCCTCCCCTGGTGCCCTTGTCCACGCTGCAGGCTGCCGAGTCCGGATCCCTGCTGAGGTGCTCATCCTGAACTCAATTGTTCTGCCACACAAGGAGCTGAGCCGAAGCTTTACCAACCAGATCATCCTGTGAGGGGAGCTGTCAGAAGGCCCCCCCAAGCCTGACCCCTCCAGCCTCTGTCTAGAATGGACCTGAGGAAGCCAGGCAGGACCTCTACATGTCCAGAGCAACGTGGGTGGGCACAGGACTCTGGGCCTCTCCCTCTCCGCTCACTCCCTAATAAACCCCGTGAACCTTGGAGCCAGCACGGACTCCTGTTTGTGCCTGGGCTGGGGGTGGGGGTAGAAGGGGGGCAGCTGAGTCAGGCCCCCCCACATTAGCATTTAAATTGGAGTCGTCGCTGCGGGCTCATGAATAATGAATCTGGAGCTCTGGTAAATCTCCCCTTCCCACTGCCTCAGCCTCGCACTGCTCCAGAGGAAGGCCCTCAAGGCTCCCAGCCTGCCGGCCCCGCCTTCACCCCTACCCTGATGCTGCCTGCCCGCCCGCCCGCCTGCCTCCCTGTTCCTCTTCACTGGGCCTGACTCAGGCCCCGGAGTGGAATGCTTCAGAAGGGAAGGGTGAAGGATTTCAGTTGGGCAGCGAGGTGGCAGGCACAGGGACTGGGAGCACAGGCCCGAGGTTTGATGACCCAGCACCTGCTGTCCTTGGTTCTTGCTGAGCCTCAGCCCCGCCCACTGCATGCGTTGCCAGCTACATCCGCTCCTAGCCCAGCTTTTGGCGGGTTGGGGGTTTCTCCCTAGCCCACCAGAGACCTGGTATCTGTCTGCTACTCCCCTGGCAGGCAGGGTGGGTCTGTAATCACAGTCGGCAGCGCTGACCTGGGAGGGGAGGACACCTGGCCACCTCCCACCACCCCGGCTTTGCCCTTCGGGAGGGCCCAGTCCCTACATTCCGGAAGCCCGCGAGAAACCCAGCATCTCATGCTCTCCCATGACCCCCACGTGCCCCTCTTGGTGCCACCCCCCCCTTTTCCCCAGCTGTGGGTGCGGAGCTTAGTTGCCAGATGAGCTGGTAATGATCGTAATCTGCTAATTGAGAGGAATCTAATTACCCGAAGAGAATGGGGGGGCAGGGCGTGGGTGGCAGGGAGGAGGGGGTCCTGGCAGCAGGCAGGGGTGGCAGGCGGCAGGGTGCCGGGTCTTGTTATCAGCACCAGGGTCTGGGACAGAGCCCAGGATTTCATAGCTTCTTTAGCTGGGCCGTTAGGAAGATGCTCTTGCTCAGGAGCTGGGCTGAGGGTGACACGGGGATTGGGCTAGATATGATCTCCCTGCAGGCTGCGTGAGAGCCTGAAATGCCCAGGTTTTAGCAGCCCTGACCTCTCACCTGCTTTGACTCAGCCCCTTCCATTCCTCGGGTTCTCGCCTCCAGCCCAGACCTTCTGCCTGGGGCTGGGAGGAGGCTGCAGATACTTACTCTGGGCCCGGGGTCAACTCCCTGAGGAAGAGGCTGGGAGAGGGGTGGACCTTAGGGCCGGGGGGCTGGGTCCTTCCCCTCTTCTCCTCCCAGTCCTGACCCTCCTGTTCCAAGTGGTTGGCAGAGGCCATGGCAGCTCCATCATAAATATGATAATTTAATTATTTTCTCAGCAAAACACCGTGAAATCCAATAAGTCTGTGTCAGGCCCTGGCCCCCGGGCCCCCCCCCCTCCTAGGCCCAGTGGGGGGTGGGGACATGGTAGGGAGAGGCACTGGAAGGGGAAGGGGTCAGTGTTTGAAGTGAGGGGGCAAGCGAAGCGGAGGTCTTTGTAACCCCCCCCAGGCTGATGGCGCCAATGCTGTGTGTGTGTGTGTGTGTGTGTATGTACTCAGGCGGGAGGGGGTGGGGGTGCTAAGGAGAAGTTATAATGCCCCCCACTCCTCTACAGCCTTGTCTGCTGTGGGAGGGGCCTCGAGCCCCACCCATCTGAGGGCACAGCTCAGGGCCCAGGATGTGGGAACCCCCTGCCTCTGGAGGGGAGAGCACAGGGAGCCCCTTTCTCTGTCACCTCTGGGACCTTGTTGTCCCTGTAGGGATAGGAGGGTGCTGGCTTCCTGGAGGGGTAGAGAAGGGAGAACTGAGGGAACTGGGGTGGGAAGTGGGGGGTGATGGGGGGAGGAATGCGGGGGAGGGGTGTGCTCCTGCCATTAGTGCTTTTTTTGGTTTCCATAAAAAGATTATTCTGTAAAATCAGCTAGGGGGAGCGAGCTGGGGGCCGGGTCCCTGGCACCAAGCGGGGAGGGGCGGCTGGGGAGGGGGACTGAGTGTGGAGAGAGATTTGGATGGGCTTCAGGAGCCAGCGAGGGGGTGAGGCTGAGCCAAGAACACAGATTGGGAGGAGGCTGGCCAGGACGTGTGTGTGTGGGGGGGTAGGGCCCTAGTCTCCTTCCTGTCCCTTTGGTGGGGCTGCCCTGGGCCCAGTCCCACCCCCATCTCCATCTCCTCCCTCTAGCACTTAGCAGCCATTATGGGGGGGGAGCAGATTGCAGCCCCCTCCCTCTCTCCAGGAAGCAAGCACAGCTGGGGCCCCGCCACATCTGCCGCATCAGCACGGAGCACAGCTGGGTGTGCCCAGAGCCACGATCCCCAAAACACAAAGGGGGCGGGGGCCAAGGAGAGCCCAGACCCCTGAGATAGGCACACTGACACCTCTGCCAACAGACACATACTCCTCGAGGCGAAGCTACACCCACCACCACACACGCTCCCTCCTGTGCAGACAGGAGAACTGACAAACACGCAATTACTGTGCTCCGCCCACCACCCCCGCTCCGCTCCCCCCACCCCTCCTCCTCCTCCTTCCCTCCGGTTCCCCTCCGCCACCAAGGCCACCTCTGAAACACCCTGGGCTCTCATATGGAGGGTGCAGGGGTCTCACTCTCCCCAAGCACACCCTTCTGGGAAGCTGGGAGAACAGGAGGGATGGTGGTGGTAAGGGGCTTCCGGTCTGAGGTTGGAGCCTGGAGAAGCCACCTGCCATGCCCATACCCCTCCCCACAAGGAAGCCCCCTTTGAAACGCTGGTCCTTGCCACCCTGGGCATGATGAGCTCTCCATCCCAGGGCGGACTGGCTGGTGACCGAAGACCATGATTCCCTGTGACGCTGGGTTTCATTGCCCACTTCAAGGAGGTGCTTCGTGCTCTAAGTCTCCCGCCAGGATCTCAGTGGCTCCCAAGGTGGGCCTCTACCACTCACCTCCACCCAACCCTCAGCAATGCACCCACCCGCTTAGCTCTGCTACCCCTGACAAGTACAGGGTATGGGGAATCACCAATGGTGGAACGTACCCACCCCCTCCCCAGAAGAGATAAGCAGGGGACCCTTCTTCCCTCCCTCTTTCCTAGGCGATGGCTACTTCTTGGCCCCTGATTAAAACCTGACAGCCCTGGATTCTTCCATCTCCTTGGCCCTGATATCTTGCCCTCAACCCTCTCTACCCTGCCCCCCCGTCCCCCTTCCGTGTCCCACGCCTCACGCCTGCGTGCCCCCCCCCCAGCTTTAATCCCTCCTGCTGCTTTGCCGCCTTATCTGTTCCCAGCAGCTTTCACTGCTGCAAAGCCCTCTCCCCCTCCTTCCCTGGATCTCCTCCTCGCCTTCCCTGGCTCTTCTCTGACCAGCACCCCACCCCCCAGCCTGTCTCTGCCTCTCAGGCCCCTTGATGGCTCCTGGAGGACACCAGATCTGCACCCCGGTGCCCTCTGCCCTCTCTCCAGCCTCAGCTCAGAGGTTGCCACTCTGACACTGGCCTCTCTCCCTCCCTTCCCTGAAGGCCCCACAGCCGTGGTCAGTTACTGTCCAGTCAAGACTTTTCATCTTCTATCACTGCTTGCCCCTTCCCGGCCCCCTCCCCAGTTCCCCCAGTTGCTCACAATCTTGGACCTGGTCTCCTTCAGTCCCAGTGACCCACTGTCTTGGCTTGGGCACCCCTAAAGGGGATGGGGGGTATTAGTAGAAGCCACAGGGGAGGGGTCAGGGCTGAACTAAGCTGGCCCTAGGACAGGGTTGGGGGGTGCAGAGTGCTGGTGAGCAGTGGGGGCAGGGGCTGGCAGTGGGACACTAACCCGCCTAAGTCGCCTCAGATCACGTCCGGGCCTCCCCACCCCCCTTCTCTGGGACTCTCATTAACCGCTTCTCCTGCCTCGTCCGCAGCATAAATAACCCAGATAAATCAGCCGCCGTCCATCCCCCGCCCCTCGGCCCCCGCACAGCCCGTTTGTCACTGCTGCTTGCTCACCAGCCAGGCCTGCCCAGTCCTGGCCTCCCCCCACCACCTTGTCCCTTCCCACCCATGTCTGTCCCACACTGGCTCATCCCTAGGTTTGCGGCAGAGCCGGGTCTGGGACAGGTGTCTGGGATGCTGAGGGTGGCAAGGGGGTGTCCTTTGGTACAGGGGGAGGCTGGAGATTCTCTAGGAGGATGCTGTCTAGGAGCCTGGGGGTCATGTCATTTATGAATGGGGCCACCCAGGCCAGGGGTCTGGGGCCCACAGGTGGCTGGAAGGGGCAAATGCAGCTCAGCTTGGGGGTTCCTGTGTTGGGAGAGGAGGCAGAGCCGCAGAAACCCAGAGGCAGGAAGGGCCTGGAGAAGCCCTTAGAGCCATCCAAGCTGGGTTCTGGGAGATCTCTGGGTCGGCCTTTGGGCATTTCGCCCAAATAAAACCTCTTGCCCAGTCCCAAGTGCTCTGAGTCAGAACCTGCCTGTCCTCCCTCTCATCTCCCTCACCCTCTGACCCCGTTCCCATGCCCTGCCTTGTCAGGATGCACAGATGCCACTCTAATTTCACCGCTCAGTCCACCCACCATTCTCTTATGTGGTCAGGAAGCCCTAGTTCATCCCCCGGGGGTTGGGGGGGGTTGAATCGGGCTGGGAACGATTCTGGGGAATGGGGACAACTGGAGGCCGGAAGACACCTGGCTAAAGCTTCACGGCCTGACCCTGCAGCACCCCTACCCTCTGACCCCCGCCGCCTGCCCCCCCACCATGCCCGGCACCCACCCAACTCGGATCCTGGCCAGCCAAACTTGGCTCAGATGCTCACTGCAGGGGGTAGCTAGCCCCCACGGAGCGGAGGAAGCGGGGAGGGGACAGGGTAGCTTGGGCGCTGGGCTGGGGGTGGGGGCGGGGAAGACGCTGGGCTGGGCCCCAGGGACCAGCTGGGCAATGAGCCGGGGAAGCAGCCGGGAGGCTAAATGAGGGAGATTATCACCCAACTGCAGCCGGGCAGAGAGGGAGGCAGGCAGGGAAGCGGGGAGAGGGAGGGG